GTGATAGTTTTAAAAAAAAAAAAAAAAAAAAAAAAAAAAAAAAAAACTCGTACTGTGTAGTTGCACTTCCGTGTGGCTCTGCAAAAGAGGAGCTAACAAAATAATTGTTCACTAAATTATTCAACGATACTCAATATTTGTGTTACACATGTTATTTTTGTTAAAAATCTTAGCATATGAAGTTCTTTTGTTAATTTTTATATTTCACGTGACATTTTCTAGTAAGAATTTACGAGAGTTACTGAAGTACGGGGGAAATTGTTGAACTGTATGTCACTTGTCTTGGTATAGAACAATAAAATAAAATAAATAAAATTATCTGTATGTAATTTCTTGTTTGAAAATTGTTTCAATATTATTGTATTCCTTTGAACCTAACACGAGAGATCAAGTTAACACAAAAAGAACATTGTTATAAGACACCGATAGTATTAAGTATCATCTACTAATAAAAAGTGAATCTCATAGTGTGTGGGTCTCATTTTTTATTAGTGATGGTACTTAATACGAGTGATGTCTCTAAACATTTTTCTTTTTTAAATAATTTAGGTTGTGATGTTCAAACGAGTTATGACAAATAAACATGCTCATAGTGCAAAGCTCATACCCAGATTTAAATAGCATTGCTATAAGGCACTGATGGTGCTGAAGGTAAGACTCGTTGTGTGGGTCTCACTTATATTAGTGATGATGCTTAGTATCGGTGGTGGTGTGCTCTAAGCACTTTTCAGATTTAAAATATATCCAATGTAATTTAATTTTGTGGGGCCAAAAACTACAGCATTGAGAATATATACTGTCCCATTCTTTGCATAATGATTTATGAATATCAGATCGACTGCAGAATAGGAAATATGAAAGTAATGTAAATAGCAATGGAGTCCCAAATCTGCGAATGGAGAAGAATATTATCATTATTGCCTACCGAAGTCCATTGCATACATGACTTATCCTGCTCTTGGATCTATATCATGAGAAATAATTACTTCGAATAATTTTATTTGCTTGGACAATTGATTTTCTTTTTCCAAGTGTTCAACTCTCTAGAATTCATCATTTCTTGCTTTCTTTTTTTCACTTTATATTTAGATATATATACTAGTTCTTTAACGTGTGCTCTGCACGTATTGTTGTGTTAGAGACACTTCAAATTTTTTTAAACTTATTTTAAAAAAGAAATACGAGTAAAGATAACCTTTGATGTGATAGAAATTATACGAAAAATAATTAAGTATGGACACATTTGAAGAAAATTATTTTAACCATTGACAAAAAATAAAACAGGCTCACATGCAAAAAAATTACTTTCATAGGAGTAAAGTGAGAAAATAATATATTTTTGAATAATACAAAAAATTAAAATGTAAAAAATATTCAAGAAAAGAACAATTTAAAAATAAAAAATAGCGATAAAAAAGTAAAAAAGAAAAAAAGAGTGTGGTAAAAGGATGGTAGCCCCGTGACAACCCCATAGAAAAAAAACTTTGGCTTTTTAATGTTTGTTAGATTAGATTAGATTATACAGAAAAGACTCTTTTCATTTTGACCATATCCAACAATTAGAAGCTGACCTTAAGGATAAAGAGGTATAACAGAGAAAGTCCTTAAAAAAAGGCAAAAAGAAAGTTAAATAAAGACTTAAAAAAAGAAAAAAAACAATATGAAAAAAGCTCATTTTATTTTGACCATATTCAACAGTTAGAAATTGACCTAAAGATAGAGAGGTCCTACTAGAAAAAGTCTTAAAAAAAAGAAAAAACACAAAAAGAATGCCAAATAAAGATTACAAAAAAAGAGTAATAAAAGAGTCGAAAGCTCTCTTCTCCTATGCCGTCACGTGACAACATGAAGGAAGAGAAGCTATGTTATGTTTATTAGATTAGATTAAAAAGGTTTTTTTTAATTATTATTATTTTGACTATATTCAACAGTTAGAGACTGAGCGTAATGATAAAGAGGTTTATTAGAGAAAGTCTTAAAAAAAGAAAAACATAAAAAGAATGTCAAATAAAGATTAAAAAAAGGAAAAAAAAAAAAGAGAATTAAAAAGACACCTTTAGTTTGTCCATATCTAACGGTTATAAACTAATCCCAACGATAAAAAGATCATACCACAAAATATCCTAAAAGAAGGAAAACACAAAAAGAATGTCAAATAAAGATTAAAAAAAGAAAAAAGAGGAAAAAAAGAGTAATAAAAAAGAGACAAAGCCGCTAAAACATCACTTTTGTCTCTTTTATTATGCAAACGCCTAAAATATCCTATGTGTTTATAAAAACAAATCCAAAACACGCCGTATGTTTATTAATGCAGACCCAAAACACCCGCTGAAACAATTAAAATTTTAAAATGTCATGATTACTTTCTCTAAATTATATTGATGTTATTTTAGATACGATTTAACGAAAATGTTAAACAAAAAATTATAAAAATACTCAATTAAATATTCAAATCAAAGAAATACTTTAATTATTTTGACAATTTTCTATTTTTTAAGATTGATTTTATTTAACATTTTGGGTTAATAATGTTTTAAATTGTATTGAATAAAGATTAGGAAGGTAATCTTGATATTTTAAAAAAATTTATTGCTTCAAGGATGTTTTGGGTCTATTTTTGTAAACAGAAAGTAAGTATCTAAATACTTACTGAATAAGAATGGTGAAAGTGGTATTTTGACCGAGCACAGAAAGTGTCTTGAGAATTATCCCTTATTATTGTTGTTGTTGTTATTATTTTGCCAAAGAATAGTCCATTAACAGGTGCAATTAATGTTAGTATACTTTTTTTAAATGTTACCAAAGAGGCCCCCAATCACTTAGAGTTCATTTGATATGAGAATTCAAATCAGAGTGATTTTAATAATGATTTTGGAACCAGAACTATGATTCATGATTTTATGTTCAAATAATGATTCTGAAACTATGATTCATAATCATGGGTTTGAATCACCTTGAATCAAGAGGGGGGTGGTTTTAAAATCATAAGTGATTCTGGTTTAAAACATCACATCAGATTCTGAATCATGATTCAGAATCATCCAAATCAAACACTGATTCTGAATTATGATTTATAATCATTGTAAACAAACAATGATTCTGAATCAGGATTCAGAATCATAATTCTGGATCTATCTACCAAACGCCCCCTTATATCAAGAGAAAATTATTGAATTTACTTCTAAGAGTGTATAAATAGACTTTCACCCTTACTCTTGATTAAAACTTGTTTGAACTAACATTGTTTTTTAACTAAAGAGTATTAATCAAGACTAGGGGTAAAAATTAAAAATTCACACACTTAGAGGACGTTTGTTTCCTATATTCGTGCATGATTCTGAATCATGATTTATGGTTCTCTACAGTGTTTTTCTCTCATAAAAAATACACGTAAAATGAGAATAGTTCTGAATCATGATTCTAAATATATAAACCAAACATCCTCTAAGAATATTTGTCTAATTTTCCCTTGCATCAATATACACTGAAGGCCCTACTATCAAGCTGCCCCTCAACTAGGAGCACATTACTCCAACCCCACCAAATGTGCAAACAGCGTAGCACAAAGAATACTTGGGGCATAATTCCAGGCACTTTAAATCGAGTATGAAGGTGGCAGGCGCAAACCTCCTTGCCTAAGATTCTCAAAGAGAGTCGCCCAACACTCTAACCGTTAACCATGCCACCCATAGAGTTACTACCCTCATGAGCATTTGAATGATATTCCGCTTAGGAACTATCCTTGTACATCAATTGTACCTCCTGTTTCTTGTTAGTAACCAGGATCACGAGATTCTCCATCAAAATATATAAAAAAAACTGTACAAAATCAATATCAAACACTATTTCAGTTGCTACCATCCAATATTTTCTCACAACTTCAAAGCAATTGTTATTCATAATTCATAACATGGATAGTCAAGTGTGATGCCTACTTTGACAATCAAGGAACACAAAACCAGGCTAAGTAGAAGTTTTATGGCACAAGATACAGACGAACGAGTGAATAATTTACATTCTATTATTTCAATTTTATCCAACTTGTGGACCTGTAAAAACATTTATCCCCGCATAGGCCGTCTTCCTGGCTTATTCATCTGATTGTTAACCGTGCCTGTAATCTGAGGCCATTCAATGTTATTGCAGACACGAATTTACGAAGAGTTGAGGTTGCTTGCGGATCTTCATTTCTGCAGAAAACATTGTAAGGTTAGCAAAAAAGAACCTCGGTCCTTTGGGATACATTTCAATACCGAAGAATATCAGTTTATTACAAGCGCATCAAAACAAGTAACCACACGCTTTTGATGCAATGCATAGAGAACAATTGGTAGAAAACATGCTTAAGGGTTTTGTTATGTTCAGTTCAATGAAAATTATTATTGTGTTGCTTTGCTTTCGAAAACCTACAACTGGGAGTTGGAAGCACTTTAAATATGAATGAATTTTAGCCACCACCACAATTAGGAAAAAAAAAAAAAAAAAAAAACAGAAGAAAAAAGGTAACTATGGCATGTTCACCCAAGTGTTCAAATACAAATGAGTTTTCATATTCATTTGACTACGCAAACTGGGGCCTCATCCTGCAGCAATTAGGCTTGTTTAGCTTTTATTTGAGAAATCTTTATTTTTCTATTCTGACATATATAATATGCCCAGATTCCCTTACTTATGGACAACCCTTATCCTTACAACATATTTTTGTTCTGCTTCTCACTCTTCCTCTTTCCATTTCTCTCAGTTTCAAGTACTGCATTAGGCAATGATTAAAAAAGCTAATGACTTACAAGCAAGATCATCCCAGTGAAGAAACCCGCCATGGCCTCTAGCATTTGTGAACTCATAAACAGCACCCGAAACTAGTCAACAGAAGCGAAATACATAACATTGTAATATTTCCATATATTAAAATCAAATAAGGGTTAGCTACTAGAATGATTAAAAGTATTCACAAAACCAAACTATATGCAACACAATGCTGTCCCAATGGGTACCTTTATAACCTCCATAAACGGGGTCTTCCGATAGCAGCAGAGGTGTGTCTAGATCAATGAACCTGTACAGAATGACAAACACTTGATGACAAACACAATTCAGCAGAAATATAAACACTTCTCTTTTGGTAAGCAAGATAGAACTTACTGAAAACACCCAAGTCCAGCAGCAAGATGGCCAGCAAAGCCCATGGCTAGTCTTGTCTCGACCATACCCCCAATCATCAACTTCAGTCCCGATGCCTTGGCTATCTCAATGATTTCAAGGGCTCCAACAACCCCAACTTTGGCAAGCTTAATGTTTATGACATCAGCGAGATTCCCCTCAATTATTTTCTCAACATCAGCTACACTTCGGCAGCTCTCGTCTGCTGCAACTGATACCCCATACTTATCTCTAGCAATACGACTAACAAATCCGAGGCCTTCCCAATCATCTCTATGAACCGGTTGTTCCAACAGAACAGGAGTAACTCCCATTTCTGCAAAGGGGAAAATAATAAACAATTAACTAGTTAATTAGAGATAACTGTACAGTTCCAGTAGTAAACTTCACTCTAGAATTCGATCAAACGGAAAACACAGTCTATAATTAGTCTATTTCAAGCGAGAAGAGGTGAAAGAGAGGGATCCCAACATCAGATCATACACAAGACTTAAGTTTCATTATGCTTCCAAAGAAAATGCGTAGAATTCTATTAACAATCAAGTGTTCAAAATACACCATGTAATTTTTCAAGAACTTCAACAGCTTCGTTGGGTCTGTATCCTTCATTAGCATCCAAGATAAACAAGCAATCAGGATGCACTGCACGTATGGCCTGAAGAACTTCTATATCTGCCTTTAGATTCTTTCCCACCTTAAGTTTGAGAGTCCCAAATCCTTGTTTGTGGTACTTTAAAGCCAAGTCAGCAGCTTCAACGGGGGAAACAATTGGAATCTGCACATGTCAGTTCTGCAGTTATAGCTTTTTAGTTGTCCTCGTACTAGTGGTCTTATATTTACATAACATACATATTAAGCGACGCAAATACACGCAAACCATTTTTACTAGATGAATCTCCTATAGAAAAGGGGGGGAAGTAAAGAAGGATAAAGAGTGAATTACTCAAACAAGAACTCAACTGTGATATCAGTGGTTATGGTATTTGAAACTCCACCGAACAGTCTCCACAGTGGGATGCCGATATCACTCGCAACTGCATCAATCAGTGCCATCTCTACTCCAGCTCTAACCTTCAATAGCCAAGAGTTGTAAAACAAAATATTACCATAATACATTGTGAAATAACAAGAGACCAAACAAAGGTAAGCACTAAGCAGCAACGTTTCAGACAAATTTTAACCATACGTGATTTATGCCAATCTGTTAGGCCCTTACTTAAGCAAGTGTATGTGAGAAGGCGAAAAAGAGGTAGAAAGTGAAGAATTCGGGGCCAAAGGGCGATTAATGAAAGTGGCTAAGTGCTGAGGTGGCATGCTAATGTTAGAATCAGGGGGGTTTTGTTGGGGAGATAGCTGATTAGAGGAAGAATTCAAGGTACCTAACATAATCAAAATCCTAAAAGTTCCCAAATCTATCATAAACTTGGGAAGCTCCAAATTTAGCTTTAAAAAGTAAAATCATCATAATTTACACATAACACGCCCAAGACTCTTACTATGTCCATTACTAATGGACATGGGGCATGCTCATGTTAGTTTACCAATTGATTCAAAAGTTTAAGCAGGGATAAAGAGTGAAATAGCCAGAATATGAACTCATAACGTATTGTTATGGTACCATGTTAGTTCCAATTCATCCTAAAAGTTTAAGCTATTACGAGGTGGGCTAACAATCGCTTTATATTTTAATAGTTCGCTTCCTTATGAACAGCACCACTAATAATTTAGAGAGTCTACAACATTAAGGTGCTATTTAAAGCAACAACAATAAAGCAGCACCAAAACTCTATAGTTGAAGATTTCGTTCTCACACTAAAAGGAAAATTAAGCCTTCTCATTTACTGAAAACCCACTCATACAGGAAGCATGAAGTAAGATCATATTTCACACTATGTACTCTGGCAAGAATTCAATAGAAGTCACAACAATTTGGCTACAAGCCTACAACAAAGTTATTATATTCCCCGAAGCATACTTATGGGAACTCTGAGACCCACTGACTACTTTCAGTGGCGGAACCATGTTTTACTGAGTGGGGCACAAATTTAGAAATTCAATTTTTCACTCTAAAATTTTCCTAAAATTTCAACCATACCTCCGTTTTATAAGAATAATTATGAATATGACTCCACTTAATAACTGAAACATATAACTATGTTCATGTACAATAAGAAATTATGTCTAATTTTTTGGTAAAGTGCCCCAAAAATAGTCTAACTCCGCCACCAATTTACAACCATAAAAGTATTTACGGGTCAAAAACAAACAGTAATGGTAGTGATATTTATTTATTTTTTTTACAACTTTATTATTCCAATGGAATTTTCCAAACTAGTTAGAAATTATCATGTAAAACTGCTTCATGGCTTTAGAATAGAATTGCATATAAATATTGGTCAAAACTCCAACGACACTCACAGAAACCAAGTCATGGCCAGGAAGAATCCCGGCGATCACCTCCAAGGCCGCTCCGAGCGTCATCTCCGGGCTCTGCCGCAGCATCTGGCAAGCCTCCCTCGCCTTGGCCATGGCGGTGGGCTGATCCTCCGCCGTCACGAAGGGCAAAATCGGAACTTCACCCCACCCCACGGATCCACTGCTCAGCTCGATCCGAACCGCAACGTTCTCGACCTTCTCGAGCCTCGACGTCGCGATCGTGAACGGCGCGATCAACGGCACGTTCAGAGCCCTGCTCTCCGCCCTCTGAATGTTCACCATCCTCGTCTCCATCAAGTTTTTGAACCCGAACCTCGCCGGCGGCGTCGCCAGGGCCATTCTCGGCGTGATTCTCGAGGTGGGTCTCGGCCTTTTGGGGATTTGGATGTGACGGAGGTGTTGAAGAGCATTGTGGGGTGTCGAGAGCGTAAGTGGGGACATCTGGTGAAATGGGTTTTGGAGTTTTGTTGTTGGTGATGTCTCCCTCTCTCTCCAATGGGGTTGTGACAGGTGAGGAAGAGATGTTGAAAACTGCCATTGTTGAGTTGCTGTGGAAGAGTTTTTTGAACACGCAGAGAAGACCTGAGAGGAGTTTTTTAATGCGGAATCTTGAATATTTTAACGTCTTCTCTTTTGTTTTTTGTTACGTTGGGGTGCACGTGTTTATTTTGGAATTTATTAACGGGGGCTTGGCATGATTATTGCGCCCCCTTCTTTTTTTTGTTTTTGTTTTTTTTGAAATGAGGATATTATTATGTGGTTTGATTAGTCGACAAATGCAGTCCGGTTAACTTTACGGATTTAAATTTTTAATTTGAGTTAAGATGTGATATTTTTTTAAAGTTTTTTATTATAATAAAAAAAATATATAATATTTTTTAAAAATTTTTTATTGTAAAAATTTAAAATTAATAACTCAAATCGATAAAATGAACGCGACTGCAGTTCTTAAATTATTTAATAATTAATACTTTATTTCTTAAATTTTTAATTTTGACAATATTCTTTGTATTGGTTAATGGGCGGATTCGGCCAGTGACGAGCGGGTGGTGGGCAGTTTAAAAGATAAGAAATTTGTTAAAATTTCAACGCATACCGCCTAATAATTTAATAGATCAACCTCCACTCACTATTAATTCAATGTGCGTGAAATGACGTAAAACAAAGCATACAGTCATAGAGTTCGTAATAAATCTAACATAAAAGAGCTAAAGCTTTTTTTTTTATGAGGGTATTACGTGGCAGATTTAGTCTATTTTTTATCATTTTTTTTAGATTTTTTTAGCTAACATTTTAATTTTTTGTGTGTTTTTTAAAAGTATGTTGTTTCTCAATTTACGTATATAAGAGTAATTTTTTTTTCCATGTGCTCTTATTTTATTTTTGGTTGTTAAAATAATTTTCTTTAAATGTATCTTTACTTAATTTTTTTTCATAAATTGTTATCTTTATACATATTCATTTTTAAAATAAATTTAAAAATTTTTAAATTGTTATATAAATAAATTTCTAATTATTTAGTATACAATAAATATTTTAAGTGTCTCTCACATGACAATACGTGCAGAGCACGTTAGAAAACTATTACTACTTAAAGTGTCAAAACTCTCCTGAGGTGGACGGTAGAAGGTGGTTGGATGCGCTTCGTTCCCCCTTCCCTTATCTTTTTTATTGCATTTTTTATAAGTATCTTATAAAATATGACAACTACTTCCGTTCAAAAAATAAACCAAGTCAAACATAAGGGTGAACATGGAAAAATTCTATAAATTGAGGGCACAACATATACATTTTAAAATTTAGGAAATATATTGACACAAGTAACATAGTTTAGGGAAAATTTGTAAAATTTATTCTAAACAAGTCTAAGAAAGCAAAGAGTTCAAGGAAAAAGGATCCATCAACTTTGATGTTCTAAAAATCGTAGAATTAGCTATCAAATTTTAGTTACAAAATAAAATTGTCACAAAATGAAATTTGGAGCCAAACATTTGTTACTTTGATACAAAATAATTGATGGTAAATTGCTTTGTTGGTCTCCAAATTATACACGAAATTGCAATTTGATCGTCCATTTTTTAATGGGAGTTTATTTGGTAGGATTGAAAAATGAACTATCAGTAATTCTTTATTTTTCTGCCTTTAAATTTATATCAGAAACTGTTTATTCTGTAAACTTTTTCAATCTGATGTGATCTCGACTAAATTGAATGGTCAAAAACTAATCTTACTTGTAGACCGACTTACAAAATGTCTCTTTTTAAATGTAAAACTCTCTAAACTATGAAAAGGGGGCACAAATACTAAAGGTCTGTTCATTTTGTTGATTCGAGTTTAGAATTTGAGTTTTTCTACAGTAAAAAGCCCTCACAAACAATCACATCTAACTTTTTTGCTACAGTAAAAAGCTCTCACATAAAGTCACATCTCAACTCGAATTAAAAACTCGAATCAGTGAACTAAACGGACCCTAAATTACTAACACGCGTTAAATTTTCAGAACAATCAAGTAATGGAGTTCTGGAAAAGATTAAAAAAAGTATTAGTTACAAAATTTACTTTTGCAGTTAATTGTTAGATTTTTTTGAAACAAATAAATTTGTTATTATTATTAAATCAAATCAGATCACATATAATAACATATTCAATAAGGGAGGACATCCTTCCAACTAAATTATTAGTTCCCTATCTAACTAGAGAGAATATCTAACCACAACATGAGCAATCTGATTAACTTCTCTAACAAAATGCTTAACATCAACTCCAAGAAAAAAAAAAGACAGCAAACTAGGTACATCCAATAATACACTTATAAACTTGTTATTGAATTGACAATTATTACAAAATGCTTGTTTGGTTTGAAGCTGGTTTGAATCAGAATTCAAATTTTAAGAAAAATAATGTAGCATAACTTTTAAAATTTTAGTGAGAAAAAACACTATTTGAACTAAAATCAGGGTGGTTTGAACCAAAATCAGGGTGGCTTGAACCCTCAAACTAAACACGTACTAAGAGTATGAATGATTATTAATTCATCCGGCTCCACAAATTGGAGATTTAAACTAACATCATGAGTCCATAGAAAACTATAAAGAAGAGCTTTGGCTTCCTCATCCACTCGCCGCTCCGGTAGTCTTCTAGCCATAATCTTACAATTATTGTAATTGATAATTGGCACTGTTAGTCTTAAACTTTGAGCGTAGTCACATTTCGATCTATAAACTTTTAATTATAAAACATTAGTCTCTTAACTTTCTGTTTTTGGCAGTTTTAGTCCTTGATTAAAATGACAAACGACTTTTAAAATTTATCAAAGATAATGATGTGTCCATTGCGTGACTTAAATTTTACAAAAAAAGTGTTTAAACTTTTCTCTTTGTTACTATTAAAACTTGTTGAAAACTATTATGTTTTGCACTTACTATAATTATTTAGGTAAAAGTTTCAGTTATTATGCAAAAATAATGTGATTATTTATGTTAAATTTTCAAAAATCATTCATCAATTTAAGTGTCAGGAAATAAAACTGTTGAAAATAAAACAAATTCAAGGACTAATATGTTAAAATTAAAAACTCTGCTCAAAGTTTAGTAACTAACACTACCAATAATCCTTATTATAATTATTGCTATATATTTTTTTTAAGGAAAACTATGTGCATTAATCAATCAAAGCCATATCAGCACTTACAAAACTAGCAATTCAACTAGGATATTCCTTTAACCAATAGCGATCTTCTTCCAAAGAAAACGAAAACTTCGCTAATGTGTGGACAACCCCATTACAACATAAACAGTCATTAACCTCATCCATCAAATTCTTGATGTCGTTTAAAATGAGAAATTCTATAGTATAGTAACAAGGATCATTTACTGTTGTTATTGCATTTATTGAATCCTCACTTTCAATAAACGATACTCGAAGTCCACTATCTCCTTTGCAAAGGAAAGTTTTAGCAGAAAATATTAAGTTACAGCTACAGAATGATTTGTTTATGAAATTATTATAATTGACTGTTATTATGCAGTGATAACGAGTATTGCCCGAGTGTGATTTGTGAATCTACAATTGAAATTTTTTTTTTTTTTTTTTTTTGGTTGCTAAAACTAATCTACAATTTTATTTTTCTGTAAAGAAAACTAATCTGCAATTGACTTCACTACTACAATGTGGACTAGTCTTTAAGCTTTTTTGCTAATGTAAAACGATTAGTAGCTTTAAATTCTTGAGTTGTCCTAAAACCTCCATTCTCAAATCCATCTGGTAAAACGGCTAGTTTTTTTTTTTTTTTTTTTTTTTTTTTTTTTTAATGTAAAACGACTAGTAGTTTTAAATCGTTCTGTCCTAAAACCTCCGGTCCCAAATCCGTCTACTCTCTCTCTCTCTTCCCTTTGCCTCCAACGCCGTAAGGCTCCATTGTCGGGCATGTCTCAACCTCGCCGTCGTCGACGAGTTTTGCAGCCCCGATCTTCCTCAACAAGCGATTCACTACCAATTTGCGAGAAGGATCGCCGAAATTTTCTCCGACGATTGAAGGGAAAGGATTGGAGACAATTTTCTCTCTGGAAGGATCCTTAGCTCACCGATTTGCTTCATCACCAATTTCTCTCTCTCGCTCTAACTTCCTGAAGGAGCCGATCTGACGATCTTCGATTCTGTGGTATGAGAAAATACGTTGCAGAAAGGTTTTCATTTTCAATTCCACCGGTCATACTTTAAGTTTGTTTATTTTTTTTTCTTTCATTTTTGTTCAACTCTCTCTCTCTCTCTCTCTTTCTCTCTCAAAAGATTGAAAAGAAGAGCCATGGCGATTCGGTTCTCAGACCGCAGCCCTCTAAGCTATCCTTCTTCCACTCTAACCGCTTCCACCACCACCTCGGTCATTGCTACAGAAATTAAAGGATATTAGACCTAACTTAACCTAATAAAATCAGCTCGTTAGGAGATGATTACTCTCAGTTTATTAAGTGGATCATGTCAATATCTTCAGCTAATGTGGGATTCTAATACGCCTCCTCACGCACAGCGTGGACCATGCCAACACGTGAATATTTAAGCCCGAGATATATTAAAGACCCAACACGTGATGACAATTTAAATGAGAATAAAGAGTACAATTACAGGAATTTGAACTCAAGACCTCCCACTCTGATACCATGTTAGTTTACCCTCTAGTTTTGGATGTGATTTTTCTAGTTTGAGCTGATGAGTGCTTCCACAAGCCAAGGCCAACACAGTGAAATAAAGTTTTTTTTTAATTTTTTTTATTTTTAAGAAAAGAAAAGAAAAGAAAAATGCTGCCTGAGTGAGGGAGTTAAATAACGAGAAAAGGTTTGGAGTTTTTGATAATTTTGTGTCATCACTTTATAAATTGAATCATGAAATTTTGTTCGTGAAGTGTAGACGGGACTCTTTTAAGAATTGGGTATGATATATAACATTAAAATTGGAATGCCAAAATAAGACAAGTTCCATTGTTGGACTCAAAACTAGAATTAATAATGTTAATGGTTAGATTGGAAATATGTTACCCAAACAAAATGCAATGAAAATTCACGCACTTTAACATAATAGCGTGCGACACACTATATTTGTTTGCTATAATATATTGCAACTTTTTGGGCACAAAGATCAATGAGATTCGTTTAAAAGGCCTTAGTAATTTGAAATAAGATTACCAACATTCTGTACAGCTTTCCCTGAAGCAACCTTTAAAGCCAAGCTCAAAAGCCATTCCTTGCTTCGTTAAAGATTACTTTACCACCAAGCTTAGAACCCCCCCATTTCCATATATAGCTTGGTGCTTGTTTTAGCAGCCCTTATGCATTTTTTTAATTTTTTTAATTTTTAAGAAAAGAAAAGAAAAGAAAAATGCCGCCTGAGTGAGGGAGTTAAATAACGAGAAAAGGTTTGGACTTTTTGATAATTTTGTGTCATCACTTTATAAATTGAATCATGAAATTTTGTTCGTGAAGTGTAGACGGGACTCTTTTAAGAATTGGGTATGATATATAACATTAAAATTGGAATGCCAAAATAAGACAAGTTCCATTGTTGGACTCAAAACTAGAATTAATAATGTTAATGGTTAGATTGGAAATATGTTACCCAAACAAAATGCAATGAAAATTCACGCACTTTAACATAATAGCGTGCGACACACTATATTTGTTTGCTATAATATATTGCAACTTTTTGGGCACAAAGATCAATGAGATTCGTTTAAAAGGCCTTAGTAATTTGAAATAAGATTACCAACATTCTGTACAGCTTTCCCTGAAGCAACCTTTAAAGCCAAGCTCAAAAGCCATTCCTTGCTTCGTTAAAGATTACTTTACCACCAAGCTTAGAACCCCCCCCATTTCCATATATAGCTTGGTGCTTGTTTTAGCAGCCCTTATGCCAAAGAACTTCCAAGAAAAAAAAAAAAAAACAACCATGTCGATTTATCCACCATCCGACTCCGAAAATGACACGACACGACACAAAAGGCTTTTCGGACGTGAAAGACCAATACATGAAGTTCTGGGAGGAGGGCAAGGTACTATTTACGTTTCATTTTTGTCCTTTGAACAAACCTGCATGGGCATGAACACTGATAACGTATTATGAGAGTATGACATCTAGTAATTTGGCTTATTTCCCCTTAGTGTGTTATGCACTTTCAACACTATAGTTTAAATCATAATAAATTTATTTTATATTTGGAGTTATAGATGACTGTCAGTTCACAATTTAATTTTAATCCCTGAATTATAGGTCAAATAATATTTTGGTTCTTGAATTTAAAAACGTTCTAGCATGAGTTCTTGATCTACCAACTTATTAAAATTTGAATGGAAAAAGATGCGTGAGGGCCGTGTGTAATAGTGGGGGTTAAATTTGTAATTTACAAAACCTAAAAAAAAAAGTTAGTAATTTACATGTTAGGGGGCAGAAGAAAGTAGTGCCTTTTTGTGTGGAGATTATAACAATTGAATGAATGAAATGACTAATTTAGAATAATTTGATAGATCTAGGGCGTGTTTGATACTTTTAAAAGTTGGGATGAAAATAGAATTTGGCCATAATTTGGGACTTAAAATCGGATTAACCCATAATTTTTAGCTTAGATTATGGCTCTGAGACTACAGAGTATGTTTAACTCTAAGCTAAGGCCTGTTGTCTTAGCTCTCATCTCTGGAGATACCAATAGAAAAGCTCCCCCATGTCCATTTTGCATTAAGAAAAAAAAAAAAAAAAAAGCTCCCGCATGTCCCTTTTGCATTTTAGAACCATTCTCTCTCTTGATTTTGGAAGGTTCAAACCCCTAATTTTGGTTCTAATTCTAAGACCACGATTTGGATCGAAAATCATAAATTATAATTCTGATTTTAAAATTAAAATTAGAATCACCCTGATTTAAACTCTTATACGAAACTGAACCTTAGAATTGTTATGATTATGACAATTATGGAACTTCACATGATACTGAAAAACAAGGATTTGGACTTGCAGTTGCAGACGTGCTGTTATGGAGAAACAGAAATATCTCAGCTGCACTTTTGGCTGGAATGACAGTTATATGGTTTCTCTTTGAGGTTGTTGAGTACAATTTCGTGACCCTTCTCTGTCACATTTCCATAACCACAATGCTTGCCTTCTTCATTTGGTGTACTGGAGCAGAAATATTTAAATGGTACTTCTTTCATATTAATTATGCATTTAAGGTTCAGTTTATTTTACTAATTTAAATTTAAAATTTGAATTTTACTATAATAAAAAACTTTTAGAAATAATCATATTTAATTTTTTTATTATAATAAAAAATTCTCATATAAAATCGCATCTCAATTCAAATTCAAATTCAAAATTCGAATCATTAAACTACCGTAATGTTAATGAATGTTAAAAGAGCCTGACGGGCCGTGCCCCATTAGACGCATAGGATCATGCCTCGTTGGGCCCAATAATACTGTCATGTATTTTAATTGGTCATCTTTAAAATAAAATGGTTTGATAAGAATTTTATAGACTCAATCATTTAGAGCCCGTTTGGTTTATGAATTAAAACTATGTGATTAAAATTATTTTTAATTTACGTGTGTTTTTTATGAGAAGAAATATTGTAGTAAATCATGAACCATGATTCGAATTAGAAAACGAATCCTCCAACTAAACGGGCTCTTAATTCATCAACTATTCATGAAATTTAAATGTCAAAGAACCCGACAGGCCGTGGCCTCATCAGGCACAGACAAGTGGGCCCCACCATGTTTTTTTCTTGATGGGGCCACGCCCTGTAGGGTTCAATAATAATGGTATGTAATTTAATTCGCTATCCTTAAATTTAATTTTTAAAATGGATTGGGTAAGAATTTCATAGACTCAATCATGTTTTTTGTCACGTACCCATTTGAGAATGTTCTTGTACAAATGTACTTTAATCAATTTGGGCTTAGATCATTTCTCTATATGTATGAAGGACTCCTCCCAAAATACCTCAAGTTATATTACACGAATCTTCATTCAGAGAAGTGGCTTCAACCTTTCACACAAGATTCAACCAATCATTGTCAAAGCTCCTTTACATTGCATGTGGAAGAGATGTACCACTTTTCTTATTGGTACATTTAAAAAAAAAATGCTTTTGGTTTTATTTTCATGAAACTCAACTTTCCATAGTAAACTCTCTTGTCACAAAGCTTTTATCTGACTTTTTTCAGGTAATTGTATCTCTCTATATTTTATCTGTGATTGGAACCTGTTTCAGCTTCTTGAATTTCCTTTATTTGGGTAAGAATTTGTCACCTTACAAGCTAATCATAACTGCATTGTTTTTTTGGTATTGTGCATTTGGGCTAATGAAGTTTGTGTTTGCATGATTGCGTGTGATCAAGGCTTTGTCTGTATGGAGACACTTCCATTTATGTACGAGCGATTCGAGGATGATGTCGATCGTCTCGCTGTCAGAATAATTCGAGAGATAAAGAGATCTTACCGAAGATTGGATACAAACGTTCTCAACAAGATTCCACGAGGTCCAGTGAAGGAGAAGAAGTTCAAATGAACAAGTTGAATACATGGGCCACTTAGAGCCCTCTTCTGCCCTGAGATACTCATGTAAATTACTGTGTCATGATATTTGTGTGCAACATTACATTTCAATGTTTGATAGAACCGTAATATAGTTACAACCTATAAATTGTTACACCAAACTACTAATTTCCATTGACAAAAGGTTTGTGAATCATGTTACACCAAAATTATATGATAAGTACAGCAATTTTACTATTATGCTATGTTTGGTAAGAAGGAAAGAAAATAGGATAGAAAGGAAATATGAAAGTGATGGAAAGGAAATTGATTTTCTTTTATGTTGTTTGGTATGAGAAGATGGAAAGAAAATGAGTTTACCTTCACTTGTTTGGTATTAGAAGTTAAATTAGGAGGAAAGAAAAAATTTTACTCGTAAATTACTTTTATACCCTTAAATTTTTTGTTTGGATGTTGATGGAGAAAATGATAGTTTAGTAACTTTGCTCACTTTAATTAGTTGTCCTCATTTTCTACCCACTTGTGGAAAGAAGAAAAATGGTGGGATCCACATGTATTATTTTCCACTCTATTTTCTCTTCCTTTTTCTTTTCTCTCCTACCAAACAACCTACATTTTCATTTTCTCTCCCAAAATCTCTCCACTTTCTTCTTTCCTTCTACTTTTCTTTCCTACCAAACATACTCTTTAGTTTGTTCTGTGGCGCTGGTTTTTCGGAGGATAAATATAGAATTCGAAGGAGGGGAAAAAAAAAGGCTCTTCAGGAATAATTAGCTATGGTAAAGTAAGACCGAATGCAGTATTACGTTATCTGGCTTAGCTTTTTCAATATTCTTAAGAGATATTATTGAGTCCTCAAAACTTCTATAGTGCTTTCAGAGCTCTAGAAACTTGTAACGCTCTTAAGATGGGAAAAACATAGAAAAAGAAATTAATTATAACAATTGAAAGAAGGATATTCTAAGATGCAAAAACTAAAAAAGGGGTCTTTGAATAACTTGGAGTTCCGGAAGCCTAAAAGCATCCACACACGTGAAGAGAACTAGAGCTAGCTGGATATCATTTGGATTTGTGTTTAAGCCTTTAAGCAACCAAGCAAAGAATATATTAGTACGAAACAGAGAATAGGATGCAACTCGGAAACATGAAAAAGATTAACTAAAATATTAGTAATAATACTTCAGAATTCCTTTGTTCTACTTCATAAGATATAGCTAGCCTTGGATATCAGTTGAATCCTCTTGGGGGCATGTTTGGTGTATTGTGTTAAAGCTACGTATAATAATACAATATTTAGCATAACCAGCGCACTACTAGATATAATTTAATACAATACGCTCTGTAATGCATAATACACAACAAAGAGACTGTATGAGACTATTGAATTATTTATTATTCCTATAAACGGAGAGGGAGAACACTAATAAAAATTTTAGGGAATGAATGAGAAGAAAAGGTATACGAGAAATAAAAATAATTTAATACGATAGTAAATCATACATTGAATAAATTAATATAGGTCATGTTTGGTAGTTTGTATTGTATTGTATAAGAAATAGTATATTGTATTGTGTTGTGTTGTGTTATTATAATACAATATAGTGTTTGGTGTAACGACAGATTGTATAAAGGTTCAAAATGTAAAATTTTAATAATTTTTAGGTCAAAATGTAATTTTTAAAAAATTTAGGGGTCTAAGTATAATTTTTTAAAAGTATTGGGGTCAAAAATTAAATTTTTAAAAAAATTTAGGGTCAATGTGTAATTTTCCAAAAGTTTGGGAGTCAAAATGTATTTTTAACAAAATTTTGGATCAAAATATAATTTTTTTAAAAAATAAATTTGCATTGTGCCCCCTCAATGTTTTAACAATTATAGGCTCCGGCATTAACCATATGTTGGCTCAATCCCGACCTTAGTCGTTCCTAACCACGACATGAATCATCAATCAATTATAAAATAATACAATATAATATGCTAAAAATGAGACGTATTCAATAATACTGATACATATCGTATTAATTTACCATCTGTATTAATTTATATAATACAATAGTCACAGTAAACATTATATTATTATATTATTATACAATATAGTGCTCTAATATAGTTAAATAAACATGTCCATCGTGTCACTGATATTTGAACTTGATGAAAAAGAATTGATTATGATTGTAGTACTGTTCTTAGATTTTAGCTGAAGAATTGAAGAAAACCCTCTCAAAAAATTCCTTATTTAAACTCAAAAGACTAGGACCACTATAGAACATGTTTATTCCCTAATTTTAGTCCCTTTCTTCAAGTTCTTTACGTGACATTATTAGAAATTATGGTACATTAGAAAATATTTAATCTTAGCTTACCAAAGCATCAGTTAGTTGTTTTACCTCTAATTGTAGTTCTGCTCTTAATTGCTTTGGTCAATTATCCCCAAATTCTAGGTGGTCCACATGTTTCCAATCTGAAATTTGATAGAAAAAAAAAAAAAAAGAGGTCGAAAAGGAAGTCAAACTTCCCACTTTAAGACAATCAAGTAGTTCTCAAACTTGCATAAAATACAAGAGAGTTTAAAAAATTGCACATTAACACATGCACAAAAGTCCATCCTGTGCTACTCTGCCACGACTCAGAATATAATCCTTAGTGAGAAGATTTTGGGCAAACACAAGTATTTTGGACTCCACTAACTAAGATTGTGGTCACGTGGAGCTCACAAGCGCAAACGTGAAACACCCCCAATACTTAAAATTATTGAGATCTTTTGTCCTATATATTGTCTTATTCACTTTACGAATTTGAGTTTTTAATTCGAACTGAGATTTGATATTTTTTTAGAGCTTTTAACTGTAACAGAAAAAGTTAGATGTGATATTTTTTAAAAATTTTTAACTGTAAAAATTTAAAATTAAAAATTTAAATCGGTGAAATGAATGGAACGATAATGTTGCCTTTTGGATACCAGTCATATCACACCAAACAGTGCACAATTAATAGATAATGCAAAAGATGAATGTTGTACTGTGGCGTTTTCCTCAAGCGCATTTTTCATGGAAAGAATGGGTATAACGCATTCATCATTCGCTTTCAACTTTTCCGTGATGTGTTTTGGGACCGTTCATTGTCTTTAGGCACAATAATAAGGGTCCTTTTAGTTTACGTGTTAGAAATTAGTTATTCTGATTTACTGAGGGAAAATTTCCTAAGAGAAAAACCTTTTAAATTTAAATTTTTTGTGAGATAATTGTAATAAAATTATAATTATAAATTTAGGGTTTATTTAATATTGATTCGAATTTTTAATTTGAGTTGAGATATGATTTTATGTGAGAGCTTTTACTGTAGCAAAAAAATTAAATATGACTGTTATTTTTTAGAGCTTTTTACTGTAACAAAACTTAAATTCTAAATTTGAATCGGTGAAATGAATGGGACCTTAAATACAAGAACCAAGACTATAAGTGGTTTTCTTTTCCTGAACTTGGGCATAAACTATTACAAAGGACTTGTCAAAATTTGCCCGTAATCTGCTTTCCCTAGAAATATAAAGGTCCGTAATCTTTTTTTTTTTTTTTTTAGAGCAGGTTTTTGAGCGGATATGTCAAATTAAAACATCAGTAATCTAATGTATTAGACTGCATAATCTCTTACTGAGGAGAGCAGTAGAGTTAAATAAACTAAAACAAATACGTAAATTTTTTCCGTTTATTTCACCGATTCAAGTTTAGAATTCGAATTTGTTACAGTAAAAAGTTCTCAGAAATAATCACATCTAACTTTTTTACCATAGTAAAAAGCTTTCATATAAAATCACATCTCAACTCGAATCAGTGAACTAAACGGACCCTAATGGTTCGTCAATAACGTGAGAGCTACGCAAATTGCTACAGATTTTTATTATGATAAAGAAAAAAATTACAAGTGAATCACACACTTTACGCCTCTCAAATTCACTGTGCCTCTTTCTAATCACACTTCCAAAACTGGCTTTCGCTTGCGAGTTCAATGTTAGAATGATAATTAAGGTCTACAAGTGTGACATACAACTGGTTTCTTAGCACCATCAAATAAAACATGTGCTAGAGTTGGTCACTAAATAAATTAGCGCATATTTAGTGAATGCTTAAAGCTAATATGCTTAATGGATATGACTCCCAATCTGTCAGGTTTTAGATGGGGACAGGAGGTCTAAATGGGAAAGGTTTTCTTTGGAAAACTCACACGAGGAATAAAATGAGAAAATAGACAAATAACCTTATAAAGTGTATGAGTCTAGATTTTTATCCGTTTATCTTGACTAATATCATTCTTAGTCAAATAATTATATTAGTCAAAAAAGTATTAATCCATAATAAATGGTGAAAATTCATACTCATACACTCTAAAAGTAAGTTCAACAATTTTCTCAGAATTAAAATGAAGTGGACGTGAAAAATAAGCAAGAAAGCAGCATATATTACTAGAATAAAAGCCCATTTGGTGTTTTCTTACATGGAAAACACCCTTTCTAAAACTGACCTCCACAATCCAATTAATATGTGGAAAATCTTATAACCTATTTCTTTTTTGTCTGTAATAATTGATTTTAAGGTGGATCATATTAGAGGAATCTACGAAGAAATATAATTGCATTTTAAATCCTTAATGGAACACCATTTATAGAACAGATTGGACTAGTTCGCACTTCCATCAAACTCAAATTAATTATTGTGTATTATTGAAGGATGAAAGCCAAAAATAAAGTTTCATTCTACAAAAAGTGTGCTCTGAGTTCGCACTTCCATCTGCACACCCACATTTCCTATTTGGCTGTCATTGTCTCAAGTGACAGATTAAGCTCATGCTAGCGTCCACCCACATCAATTCTCATGACAAGAAATAGTGGAAGAAATATGAAAAAATATATATGTATATATAAATTAAACTACCAATATGGTCTTTTAGTGGCTATATATATTGAGTACCCACTAATCTTCATGTCAAAGATCTGATGGTTTTGCCTGCCAATTACAGTGCAAGTAAGGAGAATCATGTAAAAGAGGGTCTTAAAGCAGGAAGAGAGAGAGAGACACCCACTAAAGTGTTAATTGGACCTTGGGGCAAATAATTTATGTTGGAGCATTGACTTTTCAACAACAAGAACTCATCATATATAAGAATCCTCATTTGGGAATTGCAAGCTCACTTCCCATTAGAGAGGACTTGATCAAAACACACTCACAAGACACACATAGATGGTGAGGCTATCGAGGGAGGCGGCGGATTTGGATGGGATCATCGGAGGTGGCGGTGGTGGCGGTTTTGGTTTTCTAGTCTTTGTGTTAGGTTTGTTGGTCACTCTTTGTATTGTCTCAACCGTAATCTTCTCATGCGCAGACGGTGTATCGAAAGAGAAATCCTCTTCGGCCGACACAGAACTCTATGGTGGTGGTGGCTGCGCCGCCGGATGTGGTGCAGCCTGTGGTGGATAAGAAAGATCTTATTCAAAAAATATCTCACACAAGCATCAACAAGAGAGGTTCCGAAAAAAAAAACAGATAAAAGCCACAGATGTTGTGGTTCACTTGGTCTTAAAATGATATGTACTAATTGATCCTAGATAGTTTTGTCATTGTAATACTTGTAGTAGAGAAACCTTGATAACTGAGACTTTGAAGGACACAAGTTTTTCAGTTATAGACACTCATGACTTTGTTGTTATAAAGAATTAGATCCCATTTAAAGATGGATTTCAAAAGCTTATCCTTTTTTTTTCTCTCTCTCTCTCTCTTCAGTCATATAAGGCAATATAAATATTAACTCATTGGTTAGGGTGAGAAATTACGAGGGTTTAAATTTCAATATTGCTCAAGTACTCGTGAAAGTCGCAGCAAATTTTCTTGCCCTTAATGTTTCAATATTATGCGTTTTGACCAACTTAAGGCACATTTTCGGAACTCTTGACTGACCTTGAGACTATTCATAGTTCTATCTGCAATTTATTTATCATGGGGGCACCAAAATTTGCATGCTTGAGTTCTATCTGCAAATACATTTTATCTATAATATGTTATGGAGATTGAATAGAAAAAATGTTATGGAGATCATGGTAGCAACATTAGTTCATTTATCAGTGATATTTTTCACCAAAATCACTGGACTTGAAATTTTTTCTCTTAAACATTGAAAAAGTAGAGTGAAAATCGCATTATTTTTTTCTCAACCCGGACCAGAGGATCAGCACTCTAGTAATGATACGACGCCTTGGTCTAGAAACTAGGATATACAGAAATTTTTTTTTTCTCCTAATTATGGGACTATGCGACAATATTGTTTAGCCAATGCATCCTGTTGTGGAGAAACGACTCTTTTTTCCATTCGACTCTTTCTCACAGATAAAGTTAGAGCCAAGTGATCTCCACTCAGCTAGTTGGTCAGAATATGTCGTGTTGTTACTTCTTTACTTTTTTCTTAATATATTTTCTTCTTCTTCCTTGTTAGGACTTCTTCTCTGTGCCACAAGACCCCTGTGTTCGGCGTGAGCAAGGATAAAAAATCGACATTTTTATCGAAATTTCTATATTTTGAATATACCGATATGAAAATAGGGGTGTAGTATCTTTTTCGTAAAATATCTTGAAATTTTTACATAAATTTCTATACATATTGATATTCTTATGGAGATATCCATTTCTGAGAAAAAAAAATTGTTAAATGACAGAATATCATAGAAATTTTATGGAGATTTCGTGAAAATATTAGTAAGATTTCCACGGAAATTTCTATAACTTCGTATATATTTTTTTAGTTTACTTTTTGAAAACATAATAATCTTACATTGTAAAATTAAATGGCACTATTTTAATATTTGTAGAAGAAAGTCAGTGAGTAGCTTCATAACAATCGAAAACAACACATGCATGAGGGTGATAAGGACACGACTCAAATATTAACTCTTGTGTATCAACTAATGTGGTATATGAGTTGTCATCTTTTTTATTGGCAGATGCAATCTCTTATTATTAATTGACGTGACAATGTTTTAAACAACTACCAATGTAAACATGACAACTCATATGTCACATCAGTTGGTACATAAAAATTAAAATTTAAGTTGGTGTCCCTAACATTCTTCTTTCCTATAATATTATAAGATAAAGAATACATGAGACAAACGAGGTTGACTTGTATGTGCTTTATTAGCCACATTCCACTAAACAAAAAACAAAAAAAAATGGACATTTTTCAGTACGCTAACATACCGGTATATTAAGTTTTTTGTCTGCTAGATCTACATAAAATCATATAAAAATCAAATTGTACACAAATCTTACAGTTAAAAAAAATTAACCTACTGGTACGTCAGACATACTAGAGAATCTCCCAAAAAAATAAAACAAGGAAGAAGAAGAAAATATATTAAGAAAAAAGTAAAGAACTAACAACACGACATATTCTAACCAACTAGCTGAGTGGAGATACTTGCTCTCCATGTTATCCACTTACTTGTTGACAAGTTATCCAATTTGAATTCAGATAAAAATAAATTTTGACTTAAATGGGTATTTGAATTTGAGTCGGAATTGAATAATAAGATAAAGTTAGATAAGGACTAAAAATTTGTTTCAAATTTAAAAGAGAATTGATCTTGATTTTAAATGAGATTTAAAATAAAGATAAATACCAATTTTCTAGCCTAATGTTTTAGAGATAAGATTAGAGTTTTTACTCTGACTGCATCTCTATAAATAGGTGATTCTAGAAAATCGGAGAAATAATTTTGGCTCAAACTACTACAGTGGCTGAAATTTCCCAGAGAGAGAAAGAGAAGAAAAGTTATTCCATTCACAATTGCACTTTGTTCATGTGTTGATTCAAGTGGGAGAGAATTAGTTGAGTAATCAAATATGTTTATTCTAGAAAAGTGCCCATACACTTTTATTGTAGGTTTTAAGGAGTAGACAAGGAAGATTTATAGATTCTAAGAATCTTGGAGCGAGGATTGCTTGTGTTCTTATCAGATTATCGACTTAATCACACAAGTAGAAATATGGCATTTAATGACGGTTTTTAACCGTCGCTACAAGACACAACGATGATTTCTAACTGTCGTCCTATTCGAAGTTGTAAAAGGTGACGGCCTTTTACGACGGTTAAAAACCGTCATTAAAACGAAGGTTTTTATAGTTAATCGTCTTCTAATATGGTGTTGGATGCCAAATTTGACAGCATCAGGACAACATTATGTTGGAAAATTAATGGCATCAAGTGCGCAGCGGAATTTAAAAATTTTAATTAACGTCAAAGCCAAACAAGAACATGTTCATGATGCTATATAACATAAATACTAAAGATCTAAAACATACCTTTTGAGATTTCAGGAAACTGCACGTCTGACAGATCTAAGCGTTCCAAATAGCAACCGGAAGAGCCTCAACCAACTGGTCTTCTTTGCTATTCTCGTTTCCACAATCGGTGTGCGGGTGGGCACACGTCGTTTAATCTCCTCTAGGTATTCTTGATCTCCTTCCAATCACAAGAGAACCAAAGAAAAAATTGTTCTTGAGAATTAAACAATTTTTCCTCTCAGGAATCTTTTATCAATAGCCTCCAAAAAGTCTCTCAAGTGATCTAATGAGTAATGTGACTTAATAGGCTATTTATAGTGTTTAGGAAGTCATACTTTCGTAACAATTAGGTTTCCCAAAGTTCTAATCGCATCCAGAGTCGATTTTGCCATGTCATCATGCATTTTACGTTACAACCGGTCGACCGGTGACAGAGACGTTATAACTCACCGGTCAACCTGTCTTCACTAACCGGTCGACCGGACCGGTCGACCTATGACCGGTCTACCCAACCGGTCGACCTGTCTGCACTGACGAAAGTTGTTTTTCCTAATTTTTTCAATACGGGAAACTTGCATAGAGCCTCAGTTTTGATTCAAACAACCCAATAGAGAAATTGCATGATCAAAACAGTCATATAATAGTCTTCCTATATTAAACAACTCTTAAAACAATAATTCAACCAATTTATCTAGAATTAATTTATCAATTAATTCAC